GGGATCTATGAAGGGAATAGCCATGGAGAAATAACTCTGTTGCTGTCTGGCCCTAAATTTTCTCCTCTGAAATGGACTCCAGTGACGCAGCAAGGAGACTTCAGCAATATCCAAGGTGTGGGGTTCGAGTATGACCTCTCAGACTGTAGTGAAACTGCTCTCTACCTTTCATATTGCTGAAGCTTTGTAGCTCTGACAAACGTGCTTCCCAACCTGGCAAGCACTCGCAGGCCTAAAATGATGGAGAAACCAAAAGTACTCATGCAGGAAACTTGGAACATGGAGGGATTCCTTCCTGTGGTGTAGATGAGTCCTGTAGAGCCCCTGCTTCAGGAATAATCAGCTCTAAAAGTGAGGGTCTGGAGAGTGTGAATGCCTGTACCCAAGTTTGGGAGTGAACCAAGTGAGGGAACCTCCTCGACCCTCGGTGTCCTATTGCATAGCGCTGCTTAAATGGAGAAATATTAATCCCAATTGTACAGAGCTCTTGCAATAATCAACACGGCCTGCGGTCAGGAAGTGGGAGGGAAGCATGTGATTCTAGTCACTGCAAAGTAACAATACAGTGACCTGCTCTCAACTATCAAAAATGTTTCCCTGCAACCTTTTGGCCTCCTTTCCTCAGGAAGGTGCTTCTTTTCAACCCTTAAAAGTGCTACCTCCCTCTTAAGGCAGACCTCTTCTCACCTTTGCAACTAGTGCTTCCTTTAGCCAGCCTGAGGCTGTGACTGGCTCACCAAGTCCTAAACAAGCTGTTGGAGTAGCCACCTCTGATCAGGAAAGTCTCCTGTCTGTTAGCTCTGCCTGTCTTGATTTTTAGCTTTAACGATCAGATTGAACACTGCTGTTCAGTGCCAGACATGTTGAACACTGGAGCTGTGAGATGTCAGAGTAGCCATGGGCCCTAAGGAAGGAGGCCAAGCACTTCCACTGTGCGACTGGCTGGTTAAAGCAAGCTATGAAAGTCTAGTGGTATCCCCTGCGCTGCATGCGGATGCAGCGCTGTGCCCGATGAACAAGACCGTCGGAGCACTGCAACCTACTGGCAGGGTCTAATTGCCAAGCTGGAGTTGTCAGCCTGTGGGCAGGGCACCAGATGGTGTTAACTGATGAACCTCTAAAGTGGCCTGTAGAGGGTTTCCTGTTAAGAGACCCAAGGAGTCTCTCTGGCTATAAGTATTTAAATAGTTTTGATAGAAAGATCAGCTGACTGGCTTTGGGAACAAGCTTAGTCAGCCCATCTATTGCGGAGCAGCAAGTGGGAAGGGGTCAACAGCGAGACCATGGTAGCTATGTCCAGAATGCTCTCACTTCTGGCAAGGAGTAAAGGCTGACAGGTGATATGTTTGGCCACTTGGTTGGTGTGTGTTGGGGTCCTGATCCTAGTAAACCTGGGCTTCCTCTTCTTGCTGTGTCTCTGGCATCTGTTCTGAATGGTGATGGGGGTGGGATCTATATCGGAGAGCCTAAATCCCTTCCCTGTTGCAGGTCCTCCCTTTTTATGTATGAAGGGCTGGATTCCTTTCCAAGTGCTGCCCGAGGGATTTGGACACTAGTTTCTCACTGGTTTCCAATATGGGCCTGTCAGGATGTGACCTCTGTTGGCTCACTGGCTAAGGACTGTGCATCTTGTGCTACTAACCAAGAGATTGCAACTCCTGGCCAGACTGTTAATGTCTTGTTTGGCCGCGTGCCTGGTAAGTACTGTAGTGTGAAGGCATCTGTTTAGAGAGTCTCCTGACAGGCTGGTTTAATTCAGAGGCTTGGCTTCTCTTAGCATAAACAAGGAAGTCTGCATTGGATGCTGTACTCTATTGACTCTTAATGAGAATTGTCATTCCTGGTGCTACATAAAGGAGCAGCACGTCTGAATTAACGAACTTTGTGCATACAGACACCGCTCTGTGCCATATGTGGGTATTCTAACTACCTAATGGGCAATGTAAGGATTCATGTACTGAGCAGATCTAATGGTGGTTACTCTTTCTCTTCTCTTCTCCCCCCCCCCCCCCCCCCAAGTTGTACAGCAGAGGCATAAGAAATTTTAATGATGTAAATTTTGTACCATTATCCTTGATTGTGTCTGCTACTTGCAGACTTTTTGGTGCTGTCCTAGAAACTGGATGTGTCTACACGGGATGCTAAAGGCACAGTAGACTAACTCTACTCCATGGCAAAAACCATGCTAATATGCAGTAGAATTAGTCTGCTGTGCATTAGCATCACGTACAAAGCGTGCACTGCTACTACTGCACAGTAGCACTGACTTATAGTACCTGTAATTACAGGTACTAAACATAATATGTCATAATTATGGCACACTTGATGAACATGTAGACATGCTCATTGAAAGAGAGAAGCTCTAAAGTGAGGACAAGGAACCTGGGGGGAAATTGTACGATGGGGAAAGGGGAACCAAATAAGGAACAGCTTGGGCAAGAGTTCAAGTAGTAAGGGTACCGGATGTGGAGCAGTAAAACTTGATTGCTGCTTGACCCATTGTGTGGGAAGGGGCAGAACTGAAGACAACCTGTAGTCAGAGTGGTGATACCAGTATAGAGAGGAGGAGGTCAGATTAGATCAATAGGAGGTAAATTGTTAAACAGGACCTCCCAAGAGATTTGTCTGAGATGGGAAGCAGGGACACAAATTCAGTATGAAAGGTAGATCTGAGTTTATTCTTTTCCCTAGCTTCCACTCATCTGATGGCTGTGGATTACTTCACCTGGAAGAGGTCTGAAAGCTAATCTGTGGAGCCCTTACAAAAAATTAGGGGAGTTGAGGGCCTACCAAAGGTATTAAGTTTGCTGCCACAGAACTAGAGGAAAATGAGAAAAGACTGACATGTAATGTCTTGCTTATTTATATTGTAGCTTTCTTCAACATGCCTTTTTCTGTATCTGGTGAGGAGCAGCATTTGCTGTTGGATAACAGCAGATAGAGTAAATTAGTTTTTGCAAGTCTGTCTTCTCTTTCTCTCTGCTCAGGATACAAAGCCAGGCTGGATCACAACCCTTCTGTAACTTTTGCCAAGGCCAGTTTGCTTGTAATGCTCTCTCTCCTTGGTTTTATTTTTATTTTTTTCTCCTTGCTGCTTTGCCAGAGGATAGCGGTTGAAAACTCCAGTATGAAAGTGGTTGGTTTATAACCGGTCCTAACTGTGAGATGACTTTCCAGAAGCTCGGCCCAGAAATGCAGCTGGAGTTTCACTAACAAACCCTGGAAAGACTGGGTTGCATCTAGTGTGCGGATCCAGACCATGGTACACAGCTCAATGCTCAGTTCCGTGTTCCTAGCAGTTGATTTCATCTTTCCACCACGTCCATGGTGTTGTCAACATTGCGGTCTCTAACGGCACTTGAAACACTTTGAAGGTTCGTGCCTGGAAACACATTTAGATGCTGCTCTGTATGCAGACGTTTTTCTCTGCTAGACTTCTGCAAGGAAAATAATGTCCATAATGAAAGGGGGGGGAAGGGTTCAGGGTGCACATAACACACCCTAGAATGCCAAAATGGGCTGGCTGCTACTGCATAAAGGTTTGCCTCTACTCCCTACCTGCACAAGGCCAACAGCCTGGAGCATGAGAGCAGGAGGCATTTTTAGACTCTTTGGTATCCTCTGTTCATGTTCGATTGATTCTTCCTGCAATTCTCTCCCAAGTGCTGTTGTCAAAATTGGGGCCTTAGTTTCAGGAGAGGCCAACATAAACAAGGCAGTTTGCTGTGATTGCTAGGGAATTACTGTCTTCCGGCCACCTGACCTGTTGGTGCGAGTGAAACATAACAGAACCGTAGACCGGAAAACTCCCTCCTCGGACTTCAGACTGTTCTCTGAGATGAAATGCACGTCTCTAAATTTTCTTCTGGCCCTGAGAACACTGTTGTCTCCTCTGCTGCTTGCCAAAGAAGCTGTTCTTTTGATTTAACAGTTCTTGCAATGGCTTTCTGGTTGTGGGTTGGAATTGCCCAGCTCACATCTGACTGAGCAGGCTGGCACTAGGACCTGATTCTGTGGCCCCCAGAGCCATTGGACATAGACCATAGGTTGCTGGATCCCTGTTTTTAGGTGGGTAAAAGCTTTGCTTGGCACAGGGGAAATGTCTCCAGGAGGTGGTATGGTTCAATAATTGGAGCAAGGGACTAGAAGTTGAGCTTGGGGTTCAGTACTAGCTATGTGGCTGCAATGGTCAGAGTAAGGACAGCAAACTTGTTGCTATGCCACATACTGATGTTGTTATAATTCCTGGAAGCACTATTTGCTTCCTGAACCTGTTACCAGGACACGCAGGGTTGCCTAGTGAGTAGGCTGTTGGGGCGGGGCTCCAGGTCTTCAGGCTTTTACTAATGCCTGCGAGTGGTGCAGGAAAAGTGACTGGATCCATCCTGCACCTCAGTGCGCCAAGTCTACGGTGAGGCTAAATAGTTCCCTGCACACCAGTACAGGAAGTGCAAAATCTACTTAAGATTGAGGCGCTCAAATATAAGAGTAGTAAGTAAGTACCTCAATAAAAATTACTCTGGTTCCTGACCTTGACAGTTTTTTCCAATGCCCACACTGAGCAAGTGGCCCTCTTTTTTTTGAGAACCGATCCACTAGATACCTAAAGTAGGTACCCCTTTCTCTGGATAACAGGTACCTGGCTAGTGTGTGAACTGGCCTTTCTACTGAGCTGCAAAAGAAGGTATTTTTTTTTTTTTATGGCTTGATGTGCACATACTTCTTTATGTGAAGGGGAATGAAGCCCATTTCCCTGAGGGAGTCGAGGGTCGCAGCACTCCTACAGCTCTTTGCTCCCATCACTGGCTTAATGGGTCCTTTTAGCTTCTCCTAGATCGCTGACCCAAATGTGGCAAGTTTTTGTCTTTTTGTTTGTTTGTTTGTTTTTGTTTTAATTGCTGGCTCACTGAAGAGTTGCAATCTCTGCTTTAGCACAAGAAATGGTGCTGGAGAGGGTGTCGGAGGAGAGCTAGCTGAATTGAGAAGGAGAGCTACAGAGAATGGGGAGAAAAGGTAACACTTTCAAAAGGGCTGAAGTCCCATGATTTGGGCTTACAGTTGCTTTTGAAAAGCCTAGCAAGTCTGAGAACAGCCTAGGAAGTGCCTGTTGGGGAGAAATGCTGCATTTGATTTTTATGAGAGTCACAAAGGGAAGAAATATCTTGAAATGGAAGTAATGCACCTTCTGGTCTCTTCATAATTCTCCTGCCCTGTACCTGTGCATCACCAACTGTAGTTCATGTACTGATCCTCCAGTTTGAGGGGAAAACTGTCCGTGATCTCATGCTGGCTTCAGTCTTGTTCAGCTGACACCTTTGCATTGGCCTAGGAATGCTGCTACAAGCTGTATTCCAGGATTCACATATGGTCTTATCCTTCTACAGCTATCAAGGTGAGCTGCGTTGGATTTTGTGGGGTGTCTAACAAAGTCAATGACACGGCATGGACTGTTGAGGAGCAATACTTTAACAGCACCCTTTCCTTGGCGGACAAAGGTAAGATCCAAAAGGGATTGTGGTGTGGGGGAGGGAGTATGTTGGCTTTTCGGATGACTTGGTTCTTTCCTCGGCTCTACCTGAGCTGTTCACCATGTGTATACCAGGATGTTTAATATCTCTTGGTCCTTTGCAGTATTATATGTTCAAACTGCCTTTGTGTATAAGATGCAGCCCAGATATGAGGTCACCATTTATGAAGTTCACCTGAACCTCCTCTATGCTACTTGGAAATATTGGAATGGCTATACAATGCAGCAGTTGCCCCACATGGCTTGCAAGCATTGCTTGTTACATCTGAGATGGATCTCTGGTCTGCAGTGACTTCTCCCCATTACAATTTGAAATTTGCAGCAACAACGGTTTTATCACACCCATTTTGTCACTACTCAATGTATTGTTTCTGAAAATAAAGCCTTTGCTTCTGAATAGTCTAGAATAGGTGTTTCAAGAGTACAGTGGCACAACCCCAGGGCAAAGTGTGGTGTTATTTTAGCAGTTCAGTCAAAAGCAGCTTTGCCCCAGAGAGGTGCTGAAATGATCACAAGTCATTCAAGACTTTTCTTCCTTGTGTACGGAAGTCCCTCCCTGTGAGAGGAGATGCCTGTTTTAATGGCATCTGGCACGTATTCCTGCCACATGATAAAGTAACACTGGCATGCTCTGGGGAATTTTAGGACTGAATGCTGCCTTTCATTTGGTAAATAGGTTGATACACCCACAAATAATGCATGCTGTATCAAGGCCTCCATTGAAACCAAGAGGTACCAGTATTCATTTGCCAGAGGCAGTGTATTTTGTAGTAACTGGAGAGTGTTAGGGAACCAAACTATTAGATGTTTCATGTAATAATAGGAAATTGGTGGGAGCTAGTAAAGCTGGAGTGACAGCTTCTGCTTCGTCAGCAGTCTGCGGGCACAGCTATTAGCGTGTGCTGGTGATGGGCCAGCTTCATCCTTGCAGTGTGACTAACATTGCTACATTGCACACAACAAAATGGAGAAGAACCGTTAGGGTTGCATGTAAGGCCAGCACCTAGCTAGGGAGAAGTTTGGGAGAGATGTAGGACGAGATGAGGTTCAGTCCATGCAGCTTGAGAAGAGAGTAGGAAATGCTTCCATCTCCCTTGGAAATGGTACAGCTTAGCTGCATCCCCACATGCAGGGGCATGTGGTTACTGGTGGGGGGTGGGAAAAAGCAGTGCCACAAATCTTATGCTGCTGGTTCTTGTAGTTTTTGTTTTGTTTTTTGTTGCACATTGTGTTAGTATGGAGAAAAATCCTCTGGGTGGGGTAGGGGAGATGCTAGCACCTGGGCTGGCCCCAGCAACCTTACCTGGGGGCTCCAGCAGCGGCAATCTGGGTACACAGTCTGCTGGCAACTGGAGCATGGCTCTGGTTGCAGGTGGTACACGCTGCAGCCACATGCATTGTCCCACTTTTTTCTGGTGCAGGGTATCTTTAACACCCATGGGGACTGTAGCATGCAACACAACAGTGAATAACCACATGGCAAAATCCCCAAAGGCTTTTTAAAACACTCCAGGTGACCGAGCTCTAGATGAGTATAGAGCTCAAAGCTGTGTGTTTGGATTGCAGAGCTTTAGCTGGCTAAAACTGAGCAAGAGCTTCATTTTTTAAAAGCAGTTGCAAGTTTAAAATTTTGAGTACTAAGCTTTCTTGCTAGTAGTTTCCTGTGAGGAGCCTTTGTCTGAATGACAGCCTCTCTTGTACTGGCAGAGCTTAAACCGTGTCTCCCCCTTTGGTGACAAAGGAGGCAAGCTGTGTCCTTGCAGTATTCCCTTTCCCTCCTTCCTCCCCTGTTTTCCACAAGCTCTCAACTGACGGATACCTTCAAAATGATCAAAGACGTTCAGTTCTAGTGATGCTGTTGCATTTAGTCCTTGTTGCTGGAATGAAGTGTAGACCATGTTCTCCCATGGGGAAGACTGCCAGCTACAGACTAACATAGCTTCAGATTGACCAAAGAGCTGTGGAGGGAGGGAGGAGGGTGCCCAGCCCCTGATGTTGAATTTCAGACAGCTTTAAATTTTTTTTAAGCCTTATCTGAAAACCCCGCTAATGCATGGAAAAGCTGGTTGATGTTATACAGTATTCCATGGCTTCTGGGTGTCACAACCCAAAGTTGTGATTTTTTTTTTTTGTGTGTGTGTGCTTCGGCACCGCTAAATTTATGTTCCCGCTAAAATGCAGCTCCTTTGTACGGTGGAGTTTTCTGCAATAGGAGAACCCGCGTGCAGAAGAGTGTTTCCCGCCAGTTTGTAGCCTTCTTTGCATGGTGCATTTCTTTTGCATTATAGGGATGCACGGTGCAAAGGAGTTCCCGCCATTTGTATTTAGATTCACGCCACATTATTGGCCAGATCTAAATTATGCCCACGTGGCGGCTAGCTATTGGCTTGCTAGCCATATAAAAAGCTTGAGTGGCTTCCGCCCAAGTTGGAGGACTCCACAAACACCAGGAGAGAGAGACACGGAGAGGGTCACACTGCTGATCCCTTCGAACCCAACGCGTCTCTCTTAAGAAGGCAATAGAGGCTTAATTACTGAACCGAACCCGCGGAGCCTTAACAACTCCGGGGGCCCAATTGCCGAACGGCCTCTAGCCTCTCCTTGTCGCCGAGCGCAATCCTAGATGTATCCCTATCCTATATACCCAATTTTCGAACCCACGGAGTCTTAACAGCTCCGGGGGACCTGGGAACCGAACAGAACCCACGGAGATTCAGCAACTCCGTGAGGAAAGAATTGCCGAACCCACGGAGCCTAAACCACTCCGGGGTCAAAGAACCGAGTTTGTCAGAGTCCTCCAACGAGGACTCAAGCGGAGCTGTGCCTGGAAAGCTGTCCAGCCTACACCGCGACCACCTTGGGTGTAAGTAAATAATCTTTTCAATCAACCATTACGCCTCCGTGACTGATTCTAGCACTTGCGTACCATACCGCTCCGCGGTTTTCTCCGGCCCCGCGTGCCCGGGCTGCTGGCCACAGCCTGCGTGCACAAAGACGGGCCCGGCTCGCACCTGGCAAGGATGGGATCGGGAGCCGGCCCGCACACTGGGTAGCAGTGGGCTTTGTGTCAGGACTTTTGACAGTTTACCTGAGGTTCCTTCAATGACTTCAATTGTTGTGACCTGTAACAGGGGGCTTTCTTGGGGTCGGTCTGCCATTGGCCCACCCACCTGTTTTCTGAGCCAACCGCCTGCCTCCTTGTCTGCCACACCTTGTTTCTTGATTGGTTTTAATAAGGCAGGAGGCTGCCCATTCTTGCCCCGATGCCAGGGGGCGCTATCTGTGGCTCACTTCCTCCCCTACACTGCAGCCCAAGCCTTGCAGATGGCATCCAGGTGACAGTGCTCCTGGCCTACAGCCAAACCAAACTTGTCCCTTGGTGTCGGGACAAGCTCACACACTCAGCTGGGTCTCATTTGTGGAAGTGTCAAATGCTTCCCCCCCCCCCCCCAAACCTCCAGGCAGCCCCGTGCAAAATCCCCCCCCCCCCCCCCCAACCCTGCAGGTGACTCCTGGAGTTGGAGTTTGGCATTCTTGAAAGTTGTATTTCTGTCTGCCTCTTCACCTCCACTTTATAAACACTGTAGACTTTTTTTGTTTTTTTGGTGGGGGTGGCTTTAATGACACTTAAGACATTTGGGAGCCTCCAAAAGCTTCTAAAAAGTGCCAAATTGAACTTCGGCTTTAAAGGATTGGGGTGTGTCTGAGCAAGATAATTCCCGCTGTATAAAGGTGTCAAGTATTATCAGTATATTCATGCTGTAGGCTTTTGCGATGGCGTGTCAGACAGGCCAAATGAAGCTCTTCCCATTGTAGATTAAGCCTGAGATGGAAGACTTTTATAACCACTTGGATTGGATATAGACTCACTGCATCACTCTGGCCATGTCAGTATTTCTTAGGCTCTGTGTTTATTCTAAATAAACTGTTGGAGAATGCAGTGATCCTTAACAATATTTTCATAGAGTGCAGAGGCAGAAGTAATGCTGTGAAGGGCAACATACAGTATAGTATTGAGCCCAGAATGGAATTTATGATGGTTTGTCTGCCTCCTCCTGCCTCCATGTATTTATTTGTTCCCTTAGCACCTTGAGTCTACACACTGGGACAGACAAATGTTCAGGCAGAAAAAGTCCCAGCTTCAGAATGGCTGACTCATTTATTTTAGAGATTATGATGATGATTTGCCTTTTGTAACTAATGTATCTTGAGTGATTTAACGTAAATTTGATCTAGAAATTATTTAAAATGGCATAATTAAGCTCTTTCTTGGTGCTCTGGTTTTCATATATTTCCTCTATTCAGATCACAACAGAGGGTTAAGTTTTGGGGGGGGGGGTTTCCCTTGTAAATGGGTAT